GGCAGAAAAGTCCCTGTGAGACTCCAATTAACCACTCAAAAAGCCACTCAAAAAAAGTAGAGTTGTGGCTCATTGGTAGAGCACTAGCCTTGAGCACAAAGAGGTTTAAGAACAGCACTCAGGACCCAAATTTAAACCCCACAACCTCCACCACCACCAAACAATTCTCACAGACTTTCCTACTCTAGGTGGCTCTGAACCACAGTCCTGTGTAGCTAGGATTACAGGTATAGGGTACCAGTGCCCAGCTTAACATAATATTTTAAATTACTAATTATACAAGATGAATCGAAAGGAATAGAAAGAAAGCATGATGAAGATAAATTCCTATAAAGGATAAAAAGGGACTTACAAGAAAATAAAGACAGGTAATATTTGAAGGATTATTTGCCAGGAGTTTTCCAGACAAAGAATTTTCCCTCTGATTCAGGAGCCAGAATGATTTTCACAAAAGTACCCTTTTAATGGTTGCATGATAGCTAATAAAGTTAAAGCAAGGTCTCCATATATTCTTAGAGAGAATCTCATATGTATGAACAAGCTTGTTCACCAAGCACTGCTTATAACAGGAGAGAGAGAAAGAGAGAGAGAGAGAGAAACTGAAGTATCCATCTGCCCAGAAATAAACTGGATTATTTTTCTTACTGTGCAAGTGAAACTTGCACTGGGAAGTGAAACTTTAGCTACACATATCAATAAAAGTTAACACAACCGAACTCTAAATTTAGCTTACAAACTCATCATGTCAGTAGAGGCAAAAAGGCAAATATATTTGTAACTTTTAGTTTTTCCACTACTGAATGAAAATAAACAAATTGATACAAGTTCAACTGGAATAGAAAGATACAATTTTTTATACTCCCACTGCATTTTTATGAGTGTTGGAAGACTATTCTCAATGGATTTTTTTCTCACCCTGTACAAACTGGGGCTTCTGAGCAAAGGGCCTGTTTGAATATCAAACAGCCCTGGTAGCTTGAGAGAGTGTGTCCTCTGGAAAGATCTAGAGATGGGCCATACCAGACATTTCATGGTCACTGAAGATAAACTGCTCCATGATAGGTAAAATATCTCTTCCATACTTCCTTACATTCCAAGGTATGACTAATCCACCCTTCACACACACACATACACACACACACACACACACACACACACACACACACCCCTGCCCTTAGTGAGTAGGCTGGGCAGATGAGTCAGTGTCCCTATAAAAAGCTCAGTCTGTTCATTTCAAAGTTCCTCTCCTATGTGATGCAACCTGCTACCATTCATAGATATTAAATGACCTTCATCTCATTGCCCTGTAGGAATCAAGACAAAAAACTCACACAAGACATTGGCTAATGCTTTTACTATAACAAAGGTCTCTGATCCAAGGAATCTCTCTCTTTCCTCTCTCTCTCTCAACCTCTTTCTCTTTCTCTCTCTCTCAAAGCGAGAGAGAGAGAGAGAGACAGAGAAAGAGAGAGCAGCAGGCTAACTTATTGGCCTGCAAGTAGTGTAAAATCTCAGACCCTTTTCTTTACCTCTCTGATTTAGCAGAGAAGAAAAAGGAAGACTAGGAATAACATAATGAATATGATCTCATACTAAATACAGAAATACTATTCAAAATACATCTTATACCCACTCTCCACCTTCTATTGGAACTATGGGTTTGACAAAGTGCAAGGTAAGAAATAGCAAGATAAAAATTGTATTTGGAAGGGTATTTCAGTGGAAATTTAAGATAGAGTGTAGACAAGCTTCTTTTTGATGATGTAATGATATAGGAATGGGGCATGGAGTTCCTAGAGAATCCAGTGGTTAGCAGACACGAAACATTTTTTGTTTTCTTCTCTATCAGATATTGTAAAAGAACCTTTTAAAATAGCCATTCTTGGGCTGGATAGGTGGCTCAGTGGTAGAGTGCTTACATTGCATGCATGAGGCCCTGGGTTCGATCCCTCAGCACCACATAAGTAGAAACAGTTGTAAGTGGCACGTGGCTCAAGTTGTAGAGTGCTAGCCTTGAGCTGAAGAGCTGAGGGACAGCGTCCAGGCCCAGAATTTAGGCCCCATGACCAACAACAACAACAAAAATAGCCATTCTTGGACTGGGAGTATGGCTTAGTGGTGGAGTGCTTGCCTAGCATGCCTGGGACCCTAGGTTTGATTCCTCAGCACCATGTAAACAAAAATAAAATAGCCATTCTCTGATAATTCATTGTCGAACTATCTGAGGCTCTTGGAAGTATCAACTCTTTGACTAACAAGAGATTTCTATATAATGTGCTATTTGCTAGCTATTGGTTGATTTGGGTCATCTAGCATCCACTCAATCGTCTTCTTGAAACTAAGCTCCGCCTTCAATGATGGTACTTGTGGGGCAGGTGAGCCACCTTCCACCTCTTGCCTCAAGTGAGGTACCTCACACCTCCTGCCTCATCACTGGATAAGAATCCTAGTGTAAGACAGACATGGGCCATTTTCTTTTTCACTTTGTGGGAACTTGGCCTTGTCAGCTCTGCTGGCAATAAACCTCTTTGTTCTATGTGACTTTGGCCACGTGATCTTCTAAGATAATTTCCTTTCAGAAACCATATAGATTTTAATTTGTGTTTTACTCCTTTGATAATACTTTCTGTCTATGTGGTCTAGACCTCTCCAACTTCAACTCTAGAGATGGAGGGCATTGAGTCCTAGGTATATTAATATACCATTTCCCTGGTTTAGAGGCAAGCATTGAGAAGTAAGCCCTTCCCCCAAAACAAACTTGAGGAATTTTCTAGGAAGATTTGGGTCACAGACTCTATCATTTTTCTGTTTAAGTGAGCCTGGATGGGTAGAGTCCCAGAGATAGTTTTGAGGCATCTTGCAATCAAGAGGGGAAAGTCGGTCTAAGAACTGTGCAAGCACAGAAAAAACTCAAACATGAGAGAATGGAAGAAACAGGTTCCTAAGGCAAGATTTGAGTACCTATACCCAGTTATGTCTGGAATCTTAACAATGCTGAGTTGTTTACATGAAGTAATACATCTTCTTTCACATTTAACTGTTTGACAATGAGGTTAAGCCTGATTTTCCTCTCCCTTTATGTTACAGGAAGAGAAAAGTTGTTAAACTTAGAGAAATTTATTTACTCTAGGTTTAGATGCTAGATTTATGAGATTCTAGGTCTGTAGTGAAATTTAAGATACTTTTTACAAGATCTGGATTAAAATAACCAGAGTTCTACGCTAAAAGGTTTAGAAAAATTCTTCCTGAAAATGTTAATGACTGTTTCCCTTCCAAAAATGTAATAAAGCCTTAAGGAAACAATGTAGAAAATGGAATTTGAAATGTATTTAAATATTTAAATGTCTATCCAAGTGAGTTTATTGTTAAATATCTTCAATATATTATGTTAAAGACTATTTTGGAAAATAAGTTATGGGGGACAGGAGTGAGACACAGTATCACCATCATCACCATCATCATCATCATCATCATCATCGTCGTCAGCACTATTATTATTATTTGCCAGTATTTGAGTTTGAATTAGGCTGTGCACCTGATTGGCTTGCTTTGATAGCACTCTACCAGCCTGGCAAATTTTGTTAGTTTTCTGTTTTGGGTTTTTTTGTGATAGGAATCTCCTGAACTTTACTGCCTAGGGTGGTTCTTCATTATGATCCTCTCTAGATCTCAGCCTCTTGAGTGGTTAGGATTACTCGCAGGAGCCACAGGTACCCAGCTAAAACACAACCATTTATAAAAACCCATTGAGGGATTTCTCTTAGGTTTGACACAAGTGATCATTTGCATGCTTATATTGAGTTTGAATTATTTGAAATTGGCCATTTCAAATAGTTCAATCACACAAAAAAATCATCATTATTTCTCTTTTCAGACTTATTTAAACCAGAAAACATACTGAAATAGTGCATTCGGGTCTGGCCAGAGCCATCTTGGCCACATGGTGGATGGTGGGTGTAAGGTCCATCCCAGGAAGGTGGTGCAGTCTCCTCCCTCCTCTTGGCTAAGTTTCTGCCCAGTACTTTCATCATCCAGGTAACTGGCACACCTGGAAGCAGTCATCCCCCCCCCCAAGGTCACATCCTGGGTTGCCCCTGGTCATACCCTCCATGGGACCATGGGAGGGTCCCAGACCCTGAGGTCACATTGAATTCAATGTGGCCACACCTTTCCCCTATCTGGCCACACCTGGCCATACCTCCACATCCCTGGCCTAGATAAGTCCTGGCCCTGGGGTGGCTCATCCCTTTTCAGCCATATGCATCTCCACCATGCATGGCAGGGCAGCAGTTCAGAAATACAACTTCTCTTCCTGCCTGAATATGGTATGATGTTCTCATTCATCAGCTACCTTCTTTAATTTACCTTACAATAGGATCTGGCATCTTGTCTTCACGGTGGGGAAAGTTGAAGCAGCCACCTCCCAGATGATGGGCGTGCCTGAATCCATCGAAACAGGGAGGCCACTTAGATGATAGGCTACTAAACCTGTCAGTCCAGTGCTTGGGACTGGGAGTTTCCTGTGACCCTGCCCCCTTGTCTGACCCTATTTAGGCCTGGAATAACTCAGGCGCCATTATGTCACGATGTCACCATGTTCGTGTCCTGTCGCCTGGCTCTTGGCTCTTCTCCATTCACCATGGTGTCCCAATTCAGCTCTCCATTGGAGTTGAATTGGTTTATTGGTATTGTTTTTGTTCTTTCCTCTCTGACCTTCATGGCTCAGTTTTCTAACACTGTTAGGTACATTTGCTGACATTTGTCTTTGAGACAAAAGTCCACTATGCAGTTGTTGGCCTTTTAATAAAGACTCCAAGATTCTCCATTTTTTCCCCTTGCAACAATAATATATTTTGAAAAGGCCCAACCATTATTTCTCTTATCCAAGTACATCTTTTTCACATGAAAGACAATCAGATGCACTACATTTTCAGTTTTCAAATCTTGCGCACTTAAAACAATTCCCCTAAGAAGGATCCACATCTGGTGCAAATGCTTACCTGCACGTTGTTGTACAGGGGTTGCCTTGGTGCATTAACATCTCTGAGCAGACGGTGAGATATGCCCCTTAGCTCTAAAAGCCTGCATGTAAGCTGAGGCTGCAGAAGTCTGGCCACTGATTTGGAGGATCTAGATACCCTGTTTAATCCTTGAATCAGTGTTCCCCGGTTGATCTTGGCTAATACGAGAGCCATTTTGACTTTGGATGTTTTCTGCGTAGCTTCTTTCTTCTGAAATAGAATCCTTCGAAAAGTATCTGCTCTAGGACTTGTCAATGCATAGCTAAAAATCTACTTCTAGCAGAGCTGAAAATACAACTACATTGAGTACAGTATCCTACATATACTCCCTGTGCAATAATTACATAACCCTATAAGACTCGCTTGCCCCACTTAAGTTTTTGTAGGAACATATTTTTTTCTCTTTGAATTAATATCTACAACTGAAGTAACTAGCCAAAACTTGGAGTCTTGAAATTTCTCACTCAGGGTTTATATCTTCTTTGCACTGACGGTTTAAAAGAGTCCTTTCTAACCAGGCACTGGTGGCTCACTACTAGCTATTCAGGATGCTGAGATCTGAGGACTGCAGATTGAAGCCAGCCTGGGCAGAAAAGTCCCCATGAGACTCTTATCTCCAATAAACTACTCAAAAAAGCCAGAAGCAGTGCTGTGACTCAAGAGGTAGAGTGTTAGCCTTGAGCACAAAGAGGCTCAGGGACAGTGCCAGGCCCTGAGTTCAAGTCCCAGGACCAGCAAAAAAAAAAAAAAGAGTCCTTTCAAAAGTAAACAACGAGCCAGTCCACCTGTAATTCTAACTACTCAGGAGGCTGAGATCTGAGGACCACAGTTCAAAACCAGTCCAGGCAGGAAAGTCCATGAGACTCTTATCTCCAATTAACCACCAGAAAACAGGAAGTAGCGCTGTGGCTCAAGTGATAGAGCGCTTACCTTGAGCTCAGGGACAGTGCCCAGGCCCAGAGTTCAAGCTCTATGACCCACAATAAATAAATAAAAAAGGTAAACAATGATTCTTCTTTAAACATTAGTTATTTGAATTATTAAAACAACAGTATTTGCTGAAAATGTTACAAATATTTTTCTAGTTTTCATTAAAACATTTAAGTGATTAAATGCAGAATATATGTACACGTAACTTATATTTATAATGTAAAGACAAATAAAGCAAATATCATGTATGCTATTCAATAAGTTTAAGAAAACCTTAGTTCTAAAACTTCAGAAAGTCTATATTTTGAGAAATAAAAACTTTGTGACATTATCATAAACATATGACACATTGTTCTTTCTCAGCTTTACTATAAAAAACACATTACAGAGAGAACTTCTTTACAATGTGGTTTAATTGTACTCTAGGAAACATTATAGTTTTCATTAGGAATTTAACAAGCATAGTTTTCATTAAGAATTTACATAATTTTGTGAGCTATTTTAGCTTGTTATAACTTAGCACAAAGTATTGGCTAATTAGTATTGACTGCAAATAATCAACTTTGAATCCCTAAATATTTGATCACTCTAAATATATAAATACTAAATGGATTTGTTGGCTATAACCAATGTCATATAATTGTTTAAGAGGTAGCATACTATATATTTATTTTGAATCCCTCAACTTTTATCCTAAAATTTTATTACCATTATTTCTCATCAAGGTTCAATACTTTTTTTTACTATTTAGCATTTGTTGCTGGTGACCATAAGCTGTTCTTGTCAGTCACTGAAGATGTTTTAGTAGCAATTGATGTCCTCTTGCACTGAAAAAAGTCCATTATCCATCTGTGGTCTCAAGAGAGTATCATATAAATTGTGGACTGCTGAAATTGCCACAATCCCCAGCCATTTAGAGAAAAACAATTGTGAAAGCAGTTATATAGAAGCAGAACAAGCAAAATAACACGCAGGTACAATCACCTGGTATTATTTTCTACCATCTACCACTTTTAGTTCGAAGTAAACCTGGAAAAGAATCTGTGTTGTTTGCAGTGTCCAAAACTCTCACGCATAAAGATTCTAGTTTTCTTGTGACTTTATGCTTTGTTACACAAATCTCTCCCAACTCTACCTCAACATAGAACAACAGGAGATAGTGGGCTTTAATTGATTATAATTTGATTATGACTTCCCTCATTATCTTTTATTAACATGAGGAATGGCCCATATTGTCAGAGCAAAGAAGTGAGTGTGTGCAAGTCCAACAGTACTAAAGCTCTGTCTGCCTGTTGAAGCATTTGGTATTTTGGGGAACTCTTATTTATGAAGTTATAAAATGCTGATATTTTGCCGTGTCCTTTTGTTTAGGTTTCCTTTTTTTCTTTTTTGCGACAGGATCTTGCTGCATAGTGTAGGCTGGCCTGGAACTTTCTATATCAGCCCAAGCCGAACTCAAACACAAATCCTCTTGCCTCTGCCTCCCAATCACAGGCATGCACCACCAGGCCTGACAGTCTTTACAAAATCTTGATGCTTTGTATAAAATGACTTAGATTGAGAAGGTTTATATATCTATTTTTATTAACCAATTTTAATTCCTTCTCCCAAAATAGTTCAGTAGTCAATCCACTCAATGTTCCTCTTCTTTTATAGTTACTCTCTGATTTCATTTTTTTAGTAAATAATAAGGCTGTCATTGGTGATTTATTAACTCTCACATGGGGCTCATAAAATTTGGGCTGACCAAAATATATTATAAGCAATGTTTTTTTATAAACAATTTTTTTTTCATGAAAATGTGTGTAACAGTACTGATAGTTTATGTTATCTTAGTTAGTGTCATCATAAATTCACGGCTGTTTCCAACCCCTAAATCTGTTCCCTAATGACTATCACCCTTATTTTCCTTTAATATCAGTTGTTACAATTTGACCTCCTGACTTACCTTCATGATTCTTAATACTTTCTTGTATGCTTTTTTTTTTTTTGTCAGTCATGGGGCTTGAGCTCTAGGCCTGGGCGCTGTCCCTCAGCTCTTCAGCTCAAAGCTATCGCTCTACCACTTGAGCCAAAGCGCCACTTCTAGTTTTCCGGTGGTTTATTGGAGATAAGAATCTCACAGACTTTCCTGCCAGGGCTGTCTTTGAACCGAGATTCTCAGATCTCAGCCTCCTGAGTAGTTAGATTTATAGGTGTGAGCCACCAGCGCCCAGCTTCTTGTAGGCTTTTGAAAGAATAGTTACTTCTGACAACAGAATGTTACTGACCAACTTTATCTTCTCCATCATAAAACATATGGTCAATTCCTTCCCAAGACTACCTCACTGATTTTGGGAATATTCTAAGAAAGCAAATCTAGGCACCAGTGTGCATGTATTGTGGTGGCTCTTTCTGATTCTGGTGACATGAAAGTAACAATAGAACTAGACATCAGTGTTCATACCTGTAATCTTAGCTAGGCAGAGATCAAGAAGATTTTGGTTCAAAGCCAGTCAGGGCAAAAAGGCTCATGATACCCCATTTTCAACCAGTTACTTGGTGAGGTGGTTCACATTTGCCATCCCAGAAACTTGGGATGCTGAGGATGGGAAGATCTCAATTAGAGACCAGCTCAGGAAAAAGAAATTATGTTCCTGTCATCCCAGCTGTAGGAAAGCATAAATAGGAAGAATATAATATCAAAAGAGACACCTCTGGCAAAAAAAAATCCCATCTAAAAAAAAACAACAGCAAAAAAGGCTGGAGGCATGGCTCAAGCAAGTATCTGCCTAGCAAATACAAAACCCTGACTCAAACCCCAATACTGCCTCCAAAAAAGTGCTAATAGAGAAGAAATTAGACTCTTTTAGATGCAGAATGAGAGTTCCTTTACATATAACAGTCACCAATTTATGTTGATTTCAATTAATTCTAATAGTGAATTACTTGTTCAACTGGTTGTAACAGGAAATTTTAAAAATAAAATTTCTTGAGATATTAGTTTTTTAATTCCTTTTTGTCTTCTACCAATACCATATATTCTCTTAACAAACCATGTATATGAATTTAAATGTTGACCACCTAAATTAAGACATCCTTATATCTTAGCTATGGTAAATAATGAGGGGGGGGGGAGGAAAACTGGCGGGATATGGGAAGGGATGGGAAGGGGAAACAAAGGAGGAGGCAACAATGCTTAATAAGAACTGCACTCATTACCTTGCCCATGTAATTGTAACCCCTCTCTATGGTATTTTCACAATAAAAAAATAAAAATAAAAAAGACATCCTCATATTTCCCCAGATTTTTTCTATTTTGACTCAGCCTAAGCAGCTTGGAATTGGTCATGAAGTGTGTAATTTTAGATAATCCTGTTCATCACCATGATCATCGATGTGATAGGAGGAGAGAACAACTTCCAGCTCCCATCTTCATCAACTTAGAGATGCACAAAGACATTGTGCACAAATGCACAAAGGCCATTAATGAAAAGAAACAGCAGCATGCTCCAGATTTCTCCATTTGACCTCCTCCAACTGAACATATATCCTTTCTCATTTTCTTTTTTTTTCTAGATCCAGGCCTATTTCTTTGTCATCAGCAGTTTTAATGCTGAACTCCAATTTCTATTACCTCAGCATTTTACTATCCTTTATCTATAAAACCAGCTTGTCAGCAAATCTTGTTCAATTCTTTCTCTGAATAGTCCCAGAATCTGGCTACTTCTCATTACCCCCAGTACTACAACTCCCAGTTCATTGTACTTAGATAACAACATTATCTCTTTTTCATATTAGTGAGCTTGCCACTTAATAGTTTTCTTGCTTCCAGCCTTGTTTGATTTCATTGTTCCAATAACACATCAGCCAGAGAGGCCCAACCGAAACTCGTGTCAGATCACATCTTGTATCTGCTCAATTGCTTTAGTGACTTCTTGTACTAACTAGAAAAGCAAAGTACACATAGGCCCTACAGCAACTTTAGCTTTTTTACCTCTTTGGCCTTTCACTCCATACTGATTTGTTGAACTTATTAAGTACTCTGTCAAAGTGAAGTTCAGATATCAAGTTGAAATCTTTCTTCTTATATCCAGGACCCCCTCCCCCTAAAAAAAGCTGGGTGCTGGTGGCTCACACCTGTAATCCTAGCTATGCAGGAGGCTGAGATCTGAGGGTTGAGGTTCCAAGCCAGCCTGGGCAGGAAAGTCCATGAGACTCTTATTTCCAATTAACCACCAGAAAACCAGAAGAGGTAAGGTGGCTCAAAGAGGTAGAGTGCTAGCTTTGAGCAAATGAGCTCAGGGACAGCACCTAGGCCCTGAGTTTAAGCCCCACGACTGACAAAATTAAAGCAAAGCTCCCCTCTCGGGAGGGCTTCTGGCTGTATGTCCAAGTTAAGCATTTTCCTAAGAACCTAATAAAAGCTCAGACACTTCTCAATATCTATACACAATCCATACCTTATCACCAGTGTATGAGCAGATTTGTGTAAGTATATCTTTAATACAGTTACAGTACTATTCTTGTATATTTCAAAGTCTAATGCCATCAGAAAGTAATTTTTAGACATTAATGCATAGTTAACAGATTTGATCCTGCACTTAAAAGAAACAAAAAAACAAAAAAGTACATTAACAGATACAAAAATCAAACATTTTGACACAGGGCTTATGCCAGTATTCTATAATTCCAAATCATGCAAAGCAACCCATATGGTCATCTTTTATAATAAAGAAAAAAGAAAAAAAAATAACAGATTGTTTGCTGCAAAAGAATTCTCTCATTCCAGTAAGGATAATCTTTTGTTCTTTTGGTTGTAGTGAACTTTTCTTGTGTTTAAATTTAAAAGCTTGTATTTTTAAAGTTCTTGGCTGGGTACTAATGTCTCACATCTATAATCCTAGCTATGCTATAGGCTGAGATCTGAGGACTGGGACTCAGAATCAGACCAGGTAGATAAATCTAAGATTTTTTTTTAATTTCCAAGTAATTAGCATAAAGTTGGAAGTAGAGGTGTGGCTCAAGTGACAGTATGTAAAGCCCTGAGTTTAAGATCCAGTATCAGCACATACAAAATACTAAGTCCTCATTTGAAAGTAATTTTCAGTTAGCCAATATAAACCTTTGAACATTACTCTTTTTTTTTTTTTTATTCTTGGTGGTCATGGAGCTTGAACTCTGGGCCTGAGTGTTGTACCTCTGCTCTTCAGCTCAAGGCTAGTACTCTACCACTTGAGCCACAGCACCACTTCCAGTTTTCTGGTGGTTTATTGGAGAGAAGAGTTTCATAGCCTTTCCTGCCCAGTCTGGCTTTGAACCCAGATACTCAGATCTCAGCCTCCTGAGTAGCTAGGATTACAGGTGTGAGCTACTGGCACCCAGCTACATAACTCTTTATTTAAAAAGTAGTACTAGAGGTACTGGGGTTTTTACTGGTTGGGATACAATGTATGAAGAGTACAGGGCAGGCCTCAAAAATTGTTACCATACGTCAGGATTAGAAAATGAACTTTCTAAGACGGAGGTGGGGGGGAAATCATTTAAAATTATTTAATAACAAACATTATTCTTGGTATATTCCTCTATAAACATTTCACCATGATTCCCAACATCTCTTTTACTTCTAGTGAGGACACAGGCCTTTTCTTAAATGAATAAATGTCTATAGTTGGGGTAGCTTTTATATATTAATCACAAAATTTAGTTCAACCCCAGTTAATAAAGCATTCTAAGCATTCTTAAAAATATTCATTTCACCATGCTTGAGAACTGTGGATCATGTTAGAAACTACCAAAACAAAAAGTATAGCTCTCACAATGTGACCTTTAAAAAAAATCTATTTGGCTTAACCACTAATTGCTAATTAATAAAATAACAATTTATTACTGAAGAGCAAATAGATTGAAATGTGTTATAACATATCAGTTCTACAGGCTTCTCACCAATCTCTGTAAAACATTCTTCAAAGTAACAGGGAGAAAAAGAACAGTGTGTTTGAGAATGAGAAAAAAACGTTGATTTTATTCTTCTCTGGGTGGAGTACAGTTCTTATAAGGAGGAGATTTCAAGGAGTTTGAAATGGGAATGAAGAGTTCTTTCTTTGGGGGCCAGACTATCCATCTATATCAACATCAGCTATGCTTTTAGCTCTAGTGATTGAGCTCTAGGCTATTCTGAGGGTAGAAATACAAAGGGAATTCTAGGTAGAAACTTCAAAAGGATTTCTAGAAAAAGGCTGCAACTTCTTTGATTAAATAAAATCCTAATTTTTCTAATAGTGGAGATAGGAAGGGATAGCAGGGCTTTTACTGGCCTACTTTTCAAACTCCTTTCTCAACAGAGATTTAAAATATTTCAAGTTATTTTGTTTGAATTGGCAGATATCAGTATTTTCTTTCTAGATTAAGACAGACACACAGCGTTTATCTTTCTATTGTAACAATTTATGCCAATTGTTTGTACTGATATAACTGCCCTAGATATTAAAGTATATCTAAGCTACTTTTTCTAATTTTGCATTCATTTTTGCTATGTCTTAAAAAGCTACATTGTTCTTGTGGCTATAAAAGACTTCCAGACTTCCATCTAATGATAACGTGGTTGCCTTTAAATTTAATTCATCTATCTCACTTCCCAGTCTACAATCTCTCAGAATTAGATTTGAAATTTGTTTTTCTGAAGCAAAATTAGCATTCTTTCTTTAGTTTTAAGCACTGATATCAAAATAACTCATATATATTACAACTTACAAAATATTTTCTGTGTTCCTTTTGAAACATGATATCTAATTACCTGGTTAGATTGTGATAATCTTAGGATAGCAGGAAATTCATCTTTAAACTCATCTATAAGGTCCATGATGGCTTTCTGGAACCCCTCAACTGGAAGAAAAAAAAAGAAAGAAAAAAAAAAAAGAAAAGAAAAAGTTAGGAAAAATAAAACTTTAAAAAATACCCTATAAAATATTAAAAAGAAAGTGGAACACAGAGTCTACTCCCTAGGTGTTTGGGAAAGTTAGGGACCACTGGGAGATTCTATTCCTAGTTCTTCCCAGACCCACATCCCCTTTACAAAAAAAAATTGTATATACTTCTTCCAGAAAAGTTCTTCAACACCTGCCCACATATCCATCCAACAGGTTTGATTGGCATGGTGGATTTCTAGTGCTTAGCAAGCTTATAGGTCTGGGATGAGAGCAGCCTTTAGGAAACTCAGGAAAGCAGCAAGGCCAGAATCTGCAGCTAACTGCTGGGACTCTTTGTTACTGCACAATGGGCCTCTGAGAACTTGTTACAGAATCTTCTGAAGTCATTCTGACAGTGGGAGGAAGAATGTGTTTGAAGGGATGAGGCAAGGAGAGAGAGGAAAAATGAAACACACTAAATCAGTCTACAATAGAAACTGAATTATGTCCCACATTCTGCAATGATACTTCCATTAGTGGATCATCTGAGAATAAAGGTCCTTTTGAAGAATTAACATGTGCTTTAAAAAAAAAAAGATTTTCCATATGATGCTAAACAGAAAGGAAACACAAGCAGGTAATTCAGAAAAACTTCTGAATGGATTTTACGTCCTTCACCAAATTCTTATTTGGTGAAGACAAAACGGTGAAATTTTTGGTTTCCTCTTCTTTGCAATCACATTTTTTTCTTCAGTGTTTATCTATGTAGGACTCTCCCAGTGGCAACAATCATCACTATACCTGGGAAGATTTGTATCAAGGAGATTTGGTTGATTCCTATCTAGTTATACTTTTGAAGAGTTAAGAGATGGTGAGCTCAAATCATATTTTAATTTCAAAATTTATACTTGTTTGTAGCTTGACCATTTTCAATAAGCTTGAAGCTGCAGTGGCTTCAGGCCTATTCATGGGAATTGTCTGAAAATGAGAAATCATCATGTGATTTCTCTGGTAAATAAAGCTTACTGGATCCTTGATTTTCTTACTTAATGATCTTCTCCCTGAAAGAAGTGTGGTTTTTAAAAAGCCAGGTTTCTATGCCTCCATCAGAAAGAATGACATTGCCCCATTTGTTAGGAAATGGAAAGACTTGGAAAAAATTATATTTAGTGAAGTAAGCCAGGCCCAAAGAAACATAGGTCCCATGGTTTCCCTTATTTGCAATAACTAGTATATGTCTGAGACAAGCAGAAAAGGTCAGATAAGTTGATGTTAGGGGAATGAACCCCAAGATAAGTATTCAAATGTTTTTTTGTTTTTTTTCCTTTCATGCAGTTGTTTCTAACATATTTATAAGATGATTTCTTTGTTGCTTTGTATGTCCCTCCCCCATGGTATAACCCATGCTTTCACTGTATTTGATGTTGGTATAATTTGTGGAGGGGAAGGGTAAAAACAAATCCTTTAACTAGGGATACAGGTGGACCCATTGCAACAATGAGATGTACGTACAAGTCGTTATGTCGAAAAACAAACTTTACAACTTTGGTGGGGGGTGGGGGGAGGTCCCGGTTGGGGCAGGGGGAGTATGGGAAAGGATGGGAAGGGGAAACAAAAGAGGAGGCAACAATGTTTGATAAGAAATGTACTCATTATCTTGCCCATGTAATTGTAATTCCTCTGTACAGTATTCTCACAATAAAAAATAAATAAATAAAAAGGTTTCCATGAAGAGAAGAAAAAAATTCTACCCTGTCACACTTATTTTCTACTGTGATCTTACTATGGTTTGGTTGGCATTTAGTTATATTTTCACACCTATATTTTAGGCATTTTATCTAATTAAAATTAGATAAAATAAATAATGTCAGTGGTTATTCTCCTTTGTGCCTTAGAGTGCTAGATACTTACAAAATAAATTAGATAACTTATAAATACTTTCAAGTTTATCTGTACTTAGGTTTATCTGTATTTAGAAAGCTTTACTACAGAAAAATAGAACTTCAGATTTGCACACAGTTTTGAAGAAAATAAATAGTTCAATGAAAGTAGTAACAGTGACAGAAAAAAAATTAATGACAGAAGTAAAGGAGTTTGGGCTTCAGTGAGACATGGGTGACTTCAACTCTGTTGTCAACCAGACTGTGCCAATTTAAGAAAGTTACATACATTTAAAAGATGAAATGCTGAATAAATGGAAAGTATTGTTATACAACACTTTCTTGCCTTTGGAAAGTTTACATAACCTGGGACTAAGTCAGCAGTAAGCTGGCCCTGTTCACCTATGTTTCAGCGTTTGTACCCAAGTGGCTAGAACCCAACAACTTTCCTGACTGGATCCTTCCATAAAACCTACTTCAAACTCCACTGACACAGAGCAGCATGCCTAGCTTCATTATCTACTAAATTTCAAAACCTACCCACCATCTCCTTGTCTTTGGCCCACGCTGCAGTGGCTGGAGGCCTATTCACGGGAATTGTTTGAGAACAAGACACCACCATGTGATTTTTCAGACGTGTCTATTCAGACTTGTCCTTGGCCCAAATCGAGGATTTGAATTGGAAGCCACTCCCTTCAGATGCTCACTCCCTGACAAGATTAGTTCTAGTGGACTCCAGACTATACTCTTCCAGCTCTCAGCATGCTTTGAAACTGTGCAGATCTAAGTTAATGGAAAATGTTAATAACAACCAGTGCCAGTTGTCACCCTGTAATGTATCTCAATGAAAAATATTCTCAATAGTAACATGTAAAAAGACTGAGTTGAGAGCTCTTTTCTGAGTAGCATAAACTGAAAATAATTCAAGACCTGGCATCCATCAAATGATTGTTACCTCAGACTATAGAAAGCTTCTATTCCTTACATTTATAAACATGTAAATTCTTTACATCTAAAAAGGAATAAACTTTAGAAAATTTAGGACAATATGGTGTATGGAGCCCAAGTTATATATACATGAGATTTAGCAGGGAATCTAGCATGAATAATTCACGTTAGGTTCTTTAATCCTGAAATATTGTGGGTAACTGCAAAAGGAAAATACTTCCTAAATTGAAAAAACAAACTATTTGGATATTTTTTCATATTATTGTATCCAACAGATGAAATATGAGGCCATGTTATAACTGAAAGCCTGATTGAGTCTAGTGAGAAGTTTCATATAAACCAATTTGATGATAAGAGGGGTCTCAATATCTGTTATAAAGACCTAATCAGGCTGGGCATGGTGGCAGACATCTGTAGTCCTAACTACTTGGGAGGGTGAAGCAGGAAAATGGTTTAAACCTAGAACAATTATCTTTAGTACTATTTGGAAGGACTGGCAGTAGTTGCACATGGCTAGGTTCCTAGAAAGTTAGCAAGGTCCCATCTTAATAAACAATATGGACATGGTGATTTCAAGTATGTAATCTCAGTTACATAGGAAGCATGAGAGAACTGAGATCTGCTGCTAACCCCTGGGTAATAGCGCAACACCTTATCCCAAAAAATAACTACAGCAAAAAGATTAGAGGCATGACTCATAGTACCTGCCTAGCAAGTGTAAGGCCCCTTCAACCTTCAATACCTACTCAAATTGGGAGTGCAGTAGAAGTATACATGTTCACTGCTGCACTAATTATAACATCAATGAATTGTGAGCAGTGCAAGCATCCACAAACTGTGTAATTAATAAGTGATTATAGGATGTTCATAATGGTTAGTACACAGCAGTAAAAGTAAATAAATCACTACATGCAATATCATGAATAAACATCAGGACTGTGATCACTTTAACTGAAGTAAGGCAAATGTGGAGGAAATGAAGCACAACAAAATAGCAACACCATTTAAAAGGGAACAAAGTTTATACACAGGTGACAAAATTATTCTTTAAAAACTAAGAGAATAATAAGCATAAAAGTACAGAACAGTGGTGACTACTTCTGAAGAAAGCATGGATGAATGGATACAGACAAAGAGCACAGTAAGGAAATAGTAATGTACTTTTCTAAAACATATATACACAAATGCCAATGGGCTATAATTCTTTATGCTTTTCCAGTACTAGGACTCAGAGCTTCACACTCTCCCTGCTTTTTCATTCATAGGTGATATTCTGCCACTTTAGCCATACCTCCACTTCCAACTTTTTTGCTGTTTAACCAGAGATAAGAATCTCATGGATTGGGCTGGGAAGGTGGCTCAGTGGTAGAACGCTTGCCTTGCATACATGAGGCCCTTGGTTCGATTCCCCAGCACCACATAAGCAAAAAGAAAAAAAGCCAGAAGTGGCACTGTGGCTCAAGTGGTAGAGCGCTAGCCTTGAGCTGAAGAGCTGAGGGACAGCGCTCATGCCCAGAGTTCAGGCCCCATGACCGGTCCCCCCCCCAAAAAAAAAAGAATCTCATGTATTTGTCTTCCCTGGGCTGGATATGAACTTCACATCCTCATATCTCAGTCTCTTTGAGTAGCTAGGATTATAAGTGTGAGCCTTAGAATCATCTTCAATGATTTATATCTACTGACTACAAGAAAAAATGATGAAATTGCCTGAAGAACAATTTTTTGCCACAGCTTTTGCAAAGCATTATTATTAGTAGTAATGATGGTAGGAAAAGGTTATTTGCATGGACAAACTTGGGTCAGACTCTTAAACCTTTTCCTGTGCTCATTGTGAACTTCCTTGGAAAGCAACTATAGCAAGAGCACTGATAAGTCAGTTTAGCAAGAACTTCCTACCATCATTAGCGAATCATCCTGGATTTCTGATCCTGTGCTTATCACTAAGATCCTGAATACCGTTTCTGTTATTATAATTTAAAAAGTGTCACAATACTTTTTCCTTTAATATGGTTAAGAGGACTTTTGATAGTCATTCAGTATTCATTGAGTACAACTATGTTTTCAGCACGGGGGGAATTAGTGAACTAAACACAGAAAAGCTTGTGTACTACAGAGCTTACATATAGACTGAAACAGTGAAGTCAAACTAGTTATTTGCGATTCCCTATGAGCTTAGAAAAATAATTTTTTCATTAGCATCTTGCTCATATTTTGAGATCATCTGCATAGCACCTAAAAGGATTAAACATTTGCCTGATTGACAAGTAGATCTTATTTTAGCTTTAGAAATTTTTGTGCTATAAAATGTATGTTTTAAACAGATATTTTTAAACACCCCCACTCATCAAATATTAGTCATCACTGTTCAATAAAAGTTTTTGAGCAACTATCTCCAGAAAGAATCCTTCATGGTGAAAAC